AAGATTTAACGCAGGATAAAAACTGTTGTTGTTTAATTTTTTACTTATTTTCATATTTTGAGTTTTTGTAACGATAAATTATGTATTGAATGTTCTATTATATATTACATTATTATTATTCAAATAATTCACTAACGTTGAACGTTGACCATCTATAAGTGTGTAATCATTTTAAGCTATTCCAAAATTTCGTGGCTTTTAAAATTTTGATATGTGCTTAAAGAATTTATATTAGCTTTACTGCTAAAAATGTTCTTATATGCTTCAGAAAAACAATATAAATACATCATTTGTTTGTCTTTTATTTTAATTTTTTCCCAATATTTAAATTATAGAATAGAGGGAAGGCAGCTAGTCAACAAAATTCACAGCCAACACATTGGCAACTTTTTAAAAAATTAAGATTGCTATAATCATTAAGTACTCTGCTTTCTTTAGGTAGTTTATATAAAATACGTGATGGGATAATGGTAATAAAAAATACGACCGCAAATGTTTCATTGTTCATAAAAAATGACAAAAAACCGAAAAAGTTGAGGCTTATTGCCAAGTCAAAGAAAGCGAAACTAGCATATGCTGATTGAGCTTCGATTGTTTTAGTTTGGGGAGTTTGCAAACTCCGTCATTTCATCACAGTGGCTGTGGCTGTTCATTTTTCTATAGGCATTTATCATATGTGCCATTTCATCACAGTGGCTGTGGCTGTTCATTTTTCTATAGGCATTTATCAGCCAGTGTGTCTTCTGGTTTGTAGCTGTGTTTATGAAACATTTCAACTCACATCATTACACTTCGACCAGCTGATAAATGCAATAACGAACTAGATCATCTCTCTTCAGTTAAACTATCTTTTGAAGTTACAAATTAACGGTGGGTGCATAATGAATAAATCATAAGAAAAAAAAAATAACATTTCTATTTCACAATACCTCTGGTTGAACTTGACGGGTTAATATGTTTTAAAACTTGGCTGAACTTGACGGGTTGATGTGGTTCAGTACTTGGCTGAACTTGACGGGTTGATATGGTTCAGAACTTGGCTGAACTTGACGGGTTAATATGGTTTAAAACTTGGTTGAACTTGACGGGTTGATGTGGTTCAGTACTTGGCTGAACTTGACGGGTTGATATGGTTCAGAACTTGGCTGAACTTGACGGGTTAATATGGTTTAAAACTTGGTTGAACTTGACGGGTTGATATGGTTCAGAACTTGGCTGAACTTAACGGGTTGATATGGTTCAGAACTTGGTTGAACTTGACGGGTTGATATGGTTCAGAACTTGGCTGAACTTGACAGGTTGATATGGCTTAGAACTTGGTTGAACTTGACGGGTTGATATGATTCAGAACTTGGCTGAACTTGACGAGTTGATATGGTTCAGAACTTGGTTGAACTTGACGGGTTAATATGGTTTAAAACTTGGTTGAACTTGACGGGTTGATATGGTTCAGTACTTGGCTGAACTTGACGGGTTGATATGGTTCAGAACTTGGTTGAACTTGACGGGTTGATATGGTTCAGAACTTGGCTGAACTTGACGGGTTAATATGGTTTAAAACTTGGTTGAACTTGACGGGTTGATATGGTTCAGTACTTGGCTGAACTTGACGGGTTGATATGGTTCAGAACTTGGTTGAACTTGACGGATTATATGGTTCAGAACTTGGCTGAACTTGACGGGTTAATATGGTTTAAAACTTGGTTGAACTTGACGGGTTGATATGGTTCAGAACTTGGCTGAACTTGACGGGTTGATATGGTTCAGAACTTGGTTGAACTTGACGGGTTGATATGGTTCAGAACTTGGCTGAACTTGACAGGTTGATATGGCTTAGAACTTGGTTGAACTTGACTGGTTGATATGATTCAGAACTTGGCTGAACTTGACGGGTTGATATGGTTCTGAACTTGGCTGAACTTGACGGGTTGATATGGTTCAGAACTTGGCTGAACTTGACGGGTTGATATGGTTCAGAACTTGGTTGAACTTGACGAGTTGATATGGTTCAGAACTGTTATTTAGCTGATCTTGGTGTGATAATTTGTAAATTTATCAGTTAAATGCTCGGTACTTGCGTTACATCCCGTTATCGGCTTTGGAGATACGAATAAACAGATCTAGAGACATACTTAAATATACATTCTTCAGAGCATAAAACACGATTGTGCATAAAATATTTCCTAACGGCCTCTTGAGATCATAATTAGAAAATACTAAATAAACTAGTTTTTGAACTTAGTGTTTGTTTAAAACTTGGGAGTTTAATATACTCAACTACGATGCTGATTAGGGTCCTACGCCCTTAGGAGTATTTTGTTGGTGGTGTTGTTGAATTTTGTCTAAAGCTACTCGAGGGCTATCTGCCGTTCCTAATTTTGAAGTGATAGACTAGCCAATATTGAGCCACTCTTTACCAATGATACGCTGAAAGGGCGAGCATAATCGACAACGAGATTCGATCCCACGACCTGCAGTTTACGCGTACAACGTCCTAGCCACCAGATCATGCTAGATCTTACCAGTATTATACAGCTTCTTGCAGTTCGGTTCTTGCATGATTTGATATTGGAGGCTGTAGTTCTGCACGCGGTATGGCTTGAATTAAACATATTATCTCTGTACTTTGTAACTTACTCGATATCAGGTTTAAACACAGTAACCTGTATTTCTCACAGACTAGTATACATCAAACAACGTAACCTCTCATTCAAAAGTTGGGTTGCACATTGCTCTTGGGACATCTTTTTGCCAACACTCAAATAAAACAAATTATACGGTTTACTTTCGTCGCTAATGACGAGAAGGGTCACTCCTCCCACTCATCTTTACGATGTACCTTAAGGTATAAACGAACCTCAGCTGTGTGTATAGGTTTCTTTATTATACATGACCATGTTGATCACATTTACAACGGATTTGTTATGGCAGTGAGCAGAGATTTTGATTTTCCGGGTCATTTATAAATTTTGTTACCTCATCAAGGCCTGCAATTTGAGGCTTTGGTCTCTCGTGAGATGATTCAGCCATCTTTTTGAAAGCTGTCGTTTACTTAGTCGAAAAAGCAAAGTTTTCGCGAAGCCAGTAATGATTTGTATTAATTCTAAAAGTTTTTAAAACATTTATAATTGACTCAGTGTGTCTCAACAAACAACTTTTTATCTTCTGCTCTAAGTTGTCAATTCAAATTATTCGACACCCCGAAGCGATTCATATTTTTAACAGACTTTCTTCGCATGTATCAACTTTTGTATAACTGAATTCTTAACGTTGCTGTAAAATTAAAATTAGTCGATATGATGAATTTTGGGCTTCAGTTATTTTGTTTTAATGTAGTTCAAAGTATAAGATAATGTATGTGTATATAGAAAGATCGACTTTATAAGTCACTACTAAGAATTTTATCATATTACATTGAAATAATGCTCTGGACAAGTGCTTTTTTTTTATTGGCTAAAGTTTTTGTTATGAAATGTGAGGTTTAGTCCTATATTTGTTAACCGTAAACATGGAACTCCGTAGGAGGAAATCAATAAATGAAGACTTAGCAGTATCATATGTATCCAGTTTGACGAAGTATGTTGATCTTGTTCTTGGTTGTATAAAAACGGCCTTTGTTGCATTGAATTTCTGTAATATTTCATAGTTTGAATGGCAAAATAGAAAGATGTAGGTGATTAAGATATGATTACATATAAAATAACAAACTTGTAACTTTTAGTTTTATAATTTAGTTTATTTTCTATTAACAAGTTCTATAAATTCATAACTTTAATGAGCTTATTTCTATTGAAATACAGAGAGTTGGATGCGTTATATTTTGAGAAGATGTGCTACCTACTCTATAGTTAGTTCGAACTCTATTTGATAAGACCTACTACTTCTATCTAATTAGCTTGAATTGTGTTCCCCGTGAGTTAGTGGTAAATTTAAGGTTTTACAACACTGAAATCCGTGACTCATTTTTCCGCTTTGCACTAAGAAAACAACAGCTTTAATTTTTGTCTTAAACCTTGTGATTAAAGTTCAAGGACGAAAAATTGAAAGATTATTTGATTAAAACTTGTTACGAAAATATATGCTAGTTTATGATATAAATATACTTGTTGTAAAATGTAATTTGATTCTTAAAAGAGCATTTTAGGAACGTTTTCTGTGTGTGGTTAAATATATTGTACAACATCGGAAATATACAGCTCATCTGTAAAATGCCACTGATAGATTAACGTTCAACACACGACCCTCACATCTGTGAATGTTTTAGCAGATTGTTACTAGTTTTTGTAAAAATTATGGAACTAAATCCAGAATATTCGTCAAAAATGAACTTCAGCTTTAAAAGGTATAACTACTCTCGTTCCCAAGCTCTTTCTTCTTTCTTTAGACTTCAACCTGAAATGATGATTTTCATGATAGCAAAAAATTATTCACCTCACTAATATGCTACTTACGAACAAACTAACTCATTCTTCACTAATTTATCTCAAAATAATTTTGTTTGTTTTTAAGCACAAAGCTGTGCCCACAGCAGGGCCCAAATTTTAGCAATATAAGCCCACAAAGCTTACGGCTGAGCTATCGGCGAGGATTAACATAACGAAGCTATCAATATGGCTGACAGTTATTACAAACAAATATTCGAAAGTCCAACAACAGTATGAACAAATTATTTAAGCTGATTTTATGTTATGTACAGACAAAAATGTTGAAAATAAAGGTAGATAAAATAACTTTAAAGAATTTTATTGCACAAAAAACAAAGTTTATTGTAAACTTTAAGAGTGTTATAAAAAAAACAATCTGCTTTACTATTTAGTGTCTTCTTGTTGATAAAAACATGTTGCTAAGAGAACAACATATGTAAACTGTTTTTCTTTGCAGTAATTAGTGAAGTGAATATATTTTTTCAAGAAGTTATAGTTGAAGTGATAAATAACGCTTCAATTTCTTCTCCTCAAGGACATTAAAATAATTTTAAAGCGAATTCTGTCTGATTCAAGGAAACGGGCAGTATTAGACCAGGAGTCATCGGTGGCAGTAAGCCTCGTGTCGCCACACCTGACATAGAGAAAAAAATAGAAGACTTTAAGAAAGAGAATCCAGGAATTTTCAGTTGGGAGATTAGAGATAGACTCGTTAAAGAAGGGGTAAGAAACTGATATTAAATTAAGAATTGTCGAATTAGATAAAGCTACAATAAAATACTATACGATAATGTTAAACAATTTTATTTGTGTTGTTTTTACGAATGTAGCCATTCTTTTATCCAACGTGATCCATTCTAAAGAGACTAATCCTGGATCAGAAAATAATAACAATCAAAACGATTTATTAAAAATAGTATATTGTTAGTGTTTCATTCTGTATATTTGACTTTTTATAGTACTGTGATCGCAGCACAGCGCCTTCCGTGAGTTCAATCAGTCGATTAATAAGAGGAGATGGAGGTGGAGACGGAGAGAATATGTCCGTCGGCTCTGGAGAAAAACGAATAGAGAATGTAAATAAACACTCGATTGACGGGATATTGGCCAATAAAAAAGACTGTAAGTCCTTGGTGGTTAAAATAATTGTTATAAGGTTTAACTCAACTTCCATTTTGCAAGTTTTATAAAAGTTAAGGTACATTTACTATTGGGTTAAAACGAAAATTGAAATAGCATTGAAAATATTCTTATTAATAATTTCATTTAGTTTTGTACTTATGTAATTTTTTCTAATGTTAACTTGGTTACTGAAGTATTGTTTCACGTTTTATAGGGGGGGGGGGCTACCACTGTCGCTGAAAATTTCATTCATGTGTTGTTAATTAGTGGGTTAATTTTCTAGTAAACTTCCGCAAAAATATATTATATCCTAACAACGTTGTCACATAAAACACTATGCAAAGTGCGGCTATTTATAGATGTTCGGTTTCTACTTTACTCGAGAGAAACCTGAGCTGGGGTATTTTACTAGTCAGTACTGCAAGATTTATTTAAACATTCGGTTTCTAGTTTACTTTAGAGAAACCTGAACTGGGGGGGGGGGGTATTTTACAACTTACTATTGTAAGGTTTGCTGTCTAGTCGTTCTGTTCCTAGTTTACTGTAGAGAAACCTAAAATCAGTATATTTTACCAGTGAATATCTTTACATTCTGTTCCAAGATTATAGAGAGAAGTCTGAGCCGAAGATATAGTAATAGTTACTATAACAATGTTTGGATATCTAGACATTTTCTTCCAAGTTCATAGAGAGGAACCTGAACTGAGGGAATAGTAATCGTTATTATTATTATGTTGTGCTATATATACGTTCTGTTCCAAATTTACTCTACAGAATCTTGAACTGATAGTACAGTAATATTCATTATTACAATGTTTGGTTATCTACACATTCCTTTCCAAGTTTAGCAAGAGAAACCTGAATTGAGGGTATAGTAATAGTCATTTTTACAATGTTTGGATATCTATACATTCTGTTCCTAGTTCGTAGAGAGAGAAACCTGAACTGAGGGTATAGTAACAGTTATTATTAAAATATTTGACTATCTATACATTCTGTTTCTAGTTTACTCTAGAGAAACCTGTTACGTATTACAATTTCAAATACCCTAAAACTGGGTTAAATTGTAATTTAGATTGAGTATTTAAATAAATGCCGATATATCTCTAATTTGTGATATTTTCCAACAAAATTGATACACACAGTTTTCTTTTTTAATACAAATATATTTTAATATACAACCAATAATACAATTTA